TTTCGTCGACAGGTACCTCAAATGCAGTGTTCATGTTCTCAGCTACATTGCATCGCTGTCAATGCCATGCACACATCGATTCAAGAAGGATGCGGCCGTGGAAGTGCCATTACATCAGAGTGCACGAACTAGCTTGGCTGGCGGTGGTTTCATGCTGTTTGGGCGTGCATTTTAGTGCCGGAGCAGGTGCTGGCGGCGGTCCGTTTACCGTTTTCGTCTCTTTCGCAGCATTCTGTGCTTTTTCCAACGCTGCGAGCTGGCCTTGCAGCGAGTTCCCTGCTTGTTCAGCAGCAATTTTGGCCGCGAGTGTCTCAATCACGTCTTCGGCAACACCTTGTTTGCGAGCTTCCTGCTTGCTTTGCTGAAGAAGGATCGCATTGCGCACGGGATCGTCGTTCTTGAAGTTGACTGCTCACGTCATGTCAGGAGGAAGATACACATCCGTCATGTAGCTTACCCATCGTAGCCGCGTCGTCCGCAGCATTGACAGTGGACACGAAGGCAAAGTCCGGCGGCATGTCCCACCGATCTTCTCCCGTGTCGTTGTTGTGATAGTACGTTCGCCCACGTTTGGACTTGAGTTCAACCCATCGCCGCTTGGTTATCGTCTTGAGTGCGGTGGAAGCCGAGGCCGCCGAAGAGAGGACTTCCGACGGCAGACGAGCCTTGCACACTGTGCAATGCATGTCACCATCAACTTCGCGCAGGTCCTGTTTCGGAATGTTCACGTTGCACGATGGGCACTTGACAAAGCGGTCCATGTTTCCTTATTGGCGACGGCGAAGAAATTGGCTACTCCGGAGTATAAAAAACGGTATCCGAAAATTCCGGATAACACGATACCACTAAAGATTGGTATTCCCATGTGAAAAAGGATTGATTTCGCTGCTGACATCAAAGCCGCCTTGATGGAGGTTGCACAACCATCGAAGTCTGACTGGTGCTGGTGTCTTTAAGGGCGTGGCATGATGATTGTGGCGGCTATCGTGCGTTCTTGTCGTCGCCTCAGTCGTTATAACTCAAACAATTGGTTCGAAACCGTAAAAATAAACAGTGTTTAACCTAGTTGAATCATTCAAAGTTCAGGCAGTTTGGGTTGAGTTGGGTTGAGGTGAGCATGATAAAATTGAATTCTTCAACGTTCAGGCAGTTGGATTGAGTAGAGTGTGATATATAATTGATGGAGTCTTCGCCAAGTGCACAACAACAGAACGGAACTACGTCGTTTTGTTTAAGCTGATCAATTTTATCTGGCACGGTGAACAAGGTATTTGTCCTCTCAATGCACTGCCGATATATAGGTTAAACTGGCTTCAAGGGTGCGTTTAAACGTATTTCTTCGAGGGTTTCAAACACGTTCGAAACACATCTTGCGTTCAAAATTCTGAACTCCACATTACCATGCTGCATACCCTACGACTTCGACCTGGAATCGCCCTCGGCCGCACCGCAATTTCGCGCTTTGTATCAAGTTCTTCACGCAGACAACCTATTTCCCAACTGCGCGCCATTGAACTGGCCATGTAGGTGTTGAATTCCCTTGATTGTCGGCACGCAATGTCCCACACGTCTGAGTAGCCCGAGCCCAACTCGCCAAGCTGCATCCACGTTGCGCTGGTTATATGCCGTCCTTCCAATAGGTGTCCTTACGTCTGTGGATACGTCGTCCTCGAAATGCGCGGGAAAAAAAGACAACGACGACAACGACAACCTTTCGTTCGACCTGTCCAAGATCCAAGCGTCCGTCGAAAAAGCATTCGAACATCTCCCGACATCGTTCGACCAAGCTCAAAACCATGTCAGCTTCCTTGGTGAGAACGCTGGTCAAATCTCGTGGGGATTTGGTCTGGGAGCATGTTCTGGTTTCACGTTGAAGAAAGTGTCCAAGGTTGCTGCATTCGTGGTTGGCCTCGCGTTTGTTGGGATGCAGTGCGCGAGCTACAACGGCTATGTCAACGTCAACTACGAGAAGCTGCAGCGCGACATTATGGCGCTTCTCGACACAAACAAGGTGCGGCCTGCTTCCTTCATTGCCTGCAAAAATCGCTGTGACGAATTGTGCGTGGTCGTTGCTGCATAGGATGGCAAAATCAACTCAGAAGACGTCAAGAACGCGTACGATCAAGTGCTCAAGGTGCTCGAATACAGTTTGCCCGCAGGAAGTGGCTTTGCCATGGGCTTCATCGTTGGTTTCAGAGCGGCGTAGGAGCCGCGTGCTTTCAATTGGAAGTAGATTTGTTTTTAGTCCCAGCTTAGCTGGCTCTGCGCTATCGATGGTGGAAGACCGGAATTAAGAGGTTTCGGTAGATTGCTTTCCACATCCAATTCTAGCTCCGACGGGCTGGACAATTAAACAAAAATAAGGGAATTTCGGGCATTCCTTACCAAGTCCCGAACTTGTCGTGACTCTGGTGCCCAGCGGCGTCGCAACGATTCGACCTGGTCACGACCGTAGAGTCGAGTACAAGTTCGGGATTAAGTCCACGAACGTCACGGCCGACGTCGCCGTCAGCGCGTTCAACACGTTTTCATAGTCGTGCCTTGCTTGGCGAAGACTGACGTTCACGGGACTGCGTTCGCTCTGCACACTTTTTGAAAGAACTCGTTGACAACGTCGCGAGATGAAGCCAACGCAGCTGCGCCTGCTCCATCATCGGCAAGGATATCAACTGCGCAACTCCGGTAGGTATACAAACCATCGGTGTCGATGCGATCTTGCTGGTAGCCCGACTTGGACAGGCCTGCTATACATTTGGACGGCTGTTAAGGAAAATTGGAAACGATTTCAATTGTATTTACGTACCCTCGGCACCCCTATGTATCCGAGCGGATCGCACCATCTGCAGTGATGGCGATAAACAAAACACATTGGTTTTCGGGAAGTTGAAATGAATATTTCGTTGAGCCAGCTCTTACTCGTGGAGCGATTACAACGGCGGCGCGTGCTGGCTCAAGTCGGCCAAGGGCGTGACCATTCCTCGACCGGGGATCGTATCTGGCACGATCTAAACAGCGTCCAGTTGGACCGGGACCGAGTCGTCTGGTTCTCTAGTCGTAATCGAATTGCACGTGCTCCTGTGTACTTGTTGATCCGGTCAAATCGGAAAAATCTGGCGCCAAGTGGTCGGTCCAGACCCGTTCTCTAGCATTGATTAGTCTGTGGCTAGTCACCGTTGGTCGAGTCACATGGTGGTGGTGGGGAGCCAGGGATGGTGTGCGGTCGATGGGTTGATGATGCA